GGTCTTTAGCGTCCCTGTTAGCACACCTGCCTCCCATTCCAGAAATGCTGGCTCCAATCCCACTTGGAGCGGGGTGAGTAGAACCGGAGGAGTTACATTGGTGCCATGACCCGGATGGGAGTGAGGTTTAAGGGGGTGAGTATAACGGACACCAGCTTGTAAGAGCTCTGCATGTAGAACTCACTCCCCTGATCTCAAGTGGCACACTACAGGCTGAACTCTTTAGCATTCTTGCTAACGCGCCTGACTCCCATGCCGGAAATGCCAGCTTGAATCCCGCTTGGAGCAGGGCAAGTAGAACCAGAGGGGTTACATTACTTGAAAATGTTTGTTGGATAAATATTGGTCTTGTGTACAGCAAAACCTGCTTTCACACTAAAGCAAGCCAAACTAAAGCAAGTGCAATATGTAAGAAAATTATTCTTTTGAATTGGTTCTTTTAAATGAATAGGTTGTACTTGTTCACACTGGTTCGAATGATTAATTATTAGAACAGAATTTGAATGATTGTTTAAAAACCCTTATCTAGTGGTCATTAACAATAGACAAAGCCACGAAAAATTGATGACACATGGGTCAAAAAGTGTGGAAACCCTGTATACACTTCACCCTCCATCCATCTTGTCACATTTATTTATTTAACACTTTATACTGTATGATAGATTTAAAGCAAGCAGCTTTAGTATTTAACATGAAAAAAACAGTGTCAGTGTCGCTTTCAGTTAGAGTTACAACTTGATTTTCTGCTAGGCCATGACCTTGACAAGGACATTTTCATTTTTATTCCTCTGGGCTGATTCTGAGTAGTCCCGCCCACATTTAAATCTGATTTATGATTAAATCTGACTTTTTTATGTGTGACACGTACAGTAAGTGTTCAAGTCAGGTGAATGTGTGTGTGTGTCTCTAACAGGCCATCAGAAGAAAATTATGCTTGCAGTGAAGAAGTTGTGTGATATTCATAAGGCTCTTCTGCAGGCAGAATCGGGGCAGGGCACACTGCGGCGCAAAACCCCCGCAGCCCTGGACTTGGTCACTATTGAGCCACCTCCTGAGAGCCCCGACCTCCCCTCGCCCCACACGCCCAAGATGATGACTTTCCAGGACAGTGAGCTAAGTACTGAGTTACAGAGCGCCATGTCCTCCCACTATAGTGGCTGTCAGGAAGGGCTGGCCATCAAGAACGCAGTAGGAATGTCTTCCAGTCAGGAGAGCATTGACACACGCTCTCGAGGCTCCGGACGCTCTCAGGAGCCCCCCAGCACACCGTCCTCCACTTCTACTGCGACCCCTTATAGCGGCTCCCGAGAGAGTTTAACCAGCCCAGACAGCAGTCCTGTTAAAGAGCGTAACATTCCAGAAGGTCGTGACCAGGTCCCACGTCCTCAGCTACCACAGCAGCTGCCATTCAGTGCGTCCACAGGCTTTAAATACCCCATGGTGCCTGCCAAACCCAAACTGAGCTCTGCTCCTTCTCCACAAGG